TTGCATTTAACTGTCGGTAAATATGAACAACTGAAAAACCAAAATTACAATAAATTGTTACAGTGAAATGACACATGAGTACAACACCATTTTATAAAATCTATGTCTATTGTCTATTCTTTTTTTAAAGACAAATATACATGTATTACACAATTTTTGGGGGATGGAAGGGCGTATACCCCGTCTATTCCTGACTAATCCATGTAAGAAGACATCTGTGACATGTTTGTAAACAATTAAACCACCCACATTCGATCAATTGATCTTCATACATCGTATAAACTGTATAAGGATTATATTTTTTCTACTATGTAAACGATGGAGCTTGAAGAAATAGAACCTTCATACTCTTTTATCAATTCACCGTGGTCGGTATAGTAGACATGGTTTTACTATATGTCCAATATATTAAGTGTTCCTTTATTCAACTATTTTTATTAACCGAATTCATTAAACATGTGGTAAAGTATACCAGAGCATATAACCCTACACAGTCGCCCCTACCATCGAAACGCATCTAGCCTATTATTATTAGGTACAATACACTGACAAATAATTATGTCTTTCCACATTCCTGATTTCCTGTGGAAAGACCATTTGATTTTGTTCTGATTTTTTAATTCTTCCGCCGTAATGGAAAAATAATTTTTTGTTGTGTCGCAACAAATAGAAAATATATAGTATCCCAAGTCAAGAGTCTGCAATTAAGTGGTTGTCCTTTGTTGCTGTACATCATATTTGTTTTTCGTTCATTATTTTGTACATAAATCAGGCCGTTAGTTTTCTCGTTTAAATTGTTTTACACTTGTCATTTCGGGGCCTTTTATAGCTGACTAAGCGGTATGGTTTTTTTCTCATTGTTGAAGGCCGTACGGTGACCTATAGTTGCTAACTTTTATGTCATTTGGTCTGGTGAGAGTTGTCTCAGTGGCAATTATAACGCATCTTCTTATCTTTATATTGGCACATACTACTGCATCATGCAGTGATAACGGTTTCACCATTGACCCTGTCTAACCGAGCATATATCCGTAGGAGAGTTAGCTCCCCGTTAACGGTTGTTCTTGTTATCACTACTCTAGATTGAAAGCGTAAAAGATATCGATTTACTTTTGTAGAAACCCTTATATACCCCCCCCCCCCCCCCCCCCCCCTTGGTGACCTTATTTGGAAAGATACAAATAAATCTATATCTGTCTTTATCTTTATATGAATTATTTCCCTTTTGCATTTGACATAAATGCTATGTCAATTCAACTAATTAACTGTCAGTCATAAAGACCTATATATATATATAGATAGTCTTTCGATATGAAGTCCTTGGGCCAGTAGCAGGGAAAATTGTGGTCATGGTTAATGGTCAAGATCACGTTTTATATTTTGTAGGTCTAAGTGCTCTGTTGATTGACTTAAGGTCTTTTGCATGAGAAAGGAAGGAAACACGTTTAAAAGAAGTGCCTATCGGAATTATCAATCTTTTTGCACAGATTTCTTGTAAAAGTAGATAGAAACCATATATTTTCAGAATCAGAGTACAGTAACTGTAGTATATAGAATAAATTCAGAAGTGATAGTTTGTATACCAGGACAAACTATCTCCCTTATGTCAATAATAAGTATATACATACCACATATTTATGGAATCATTGCAAAGTAAAAAGTTAACATTTGACCACAGAAGTGACTTGTAGAAGACTTTTGATAGAAAACTGTTTTATTCATTTTTACATACAAGTGTTATCATTTATCAGCAAAAAGGTCAGATTTTGGCAATTAAACCCAAAAAAGACAATATAGTTCAGAGATTCATATTGCTTTCATTTGATTCTATTGTAACACACTTCAAACAAGTTGTTTCTATTGCTGCAAATTTTAAACTAGTTCAAAACCGGACAAAATTGGCTGCTGCCTCTACGGAGTATAAAAATTAGAAAGTGGTATATGGGCTATTGATATCAAAAGTGTTTTGCTGAATGGAAATAAAAGATTTGAAAAGTTTAAAGATTACACACATTAGACAAATTTGCTCTTTCCGCTAGCTGTCAATTAAAACATGTATCTTTTTCCGCTAGCTGTCAATGAAAACATGTATGTTCCTCCTCAGGAAAGAATACATACACATGGATCTCTAATTAAAGGGCCGATTATCAAATTTGCAAATATGCGTACAGATTTTTTTTGTATAACGAATTTCTTTTTTTTTACCACAGAAACTACTAGTTATTGATTTTACATACAATTGATCTAATAAAGAACCTATAACGTAACGTAATTGCATATGACCCATTGTCCTTAAAATCTGAAAACAGCGGCTTGGTGCAGGTGAAGCATATGTAAAGCATGTGAACTGGTCAAAGGTTTTGGATAACTTAGACGACCTGACACTAAAACCTTTCATTTTGCATTACAAGAGGATACCTACTAGGGCCCATAGATTTTGTTTTCTTTACAAACAAGGAGCATATAATATCTAAAACTGTCGACGTAATGGTCTAAAAAAGATCGTAATTAACTTATTTTATTATAGATCCTTTACAACCCCCCCCCCCCCCCCCCCCCCCCCCCTAAAAAAAGATAAGCCCAAACTGTCCAACAAACAAATCCAGTCTTTAGCTAATACTAGTAATTTTACATTTTAAAACACAGAACACAATTAATTGCCTATTTCGACTGTTTTACTATATGAGTTATAAGTTATATCGGCGATATCAACGATCTGCAAGTCCTGTTAGATGTATGCTTCTTTACAATTTACAACAAGATGTCGTTAAATGAAATTAGATACCTTGCATTTATCATGCTTTTCAATCACATGTGATCAAATCGCTGAAAGACCCCCCTCCTAAATTATTGAAAACTATCATTCTGCATTGACAATAATATCATGATGTATATTAGACACATCCATTCAGGCTAACGCCCTCAAGGTGTATCTAATTCTTACACGTACATTAAAACAACACTAGATCCATCAACATATTTTGTCGTTTAAATACAAACACCTTGCTAAAGATAATTACTTGAATCATTCAGTTAGTAAACGCATCACGCACATTTGACTTCGACCGGATACATGGCTTTTAACTTTTTTTTTATAAAGAAAAAGGATAGCTAAAACTTTGTCTGCACTCATGTCATTTTCAAAAAATCTTTAAAATAAAAAGCAAAGGTTGAAAGCTTCATATGTACCCTGCATATACTGACATTTTGACGCCCGACAAGCAAATAGGGCCCTTAAAGCAAAATTATATATTTTGGGTTTTGGTCTTTTTGAAACGGATAATACCAATGCCATCTTGGTGCAAAAAATTGACAACGATCGGAGAAAAACTAATTGAGATTTTTAATTGTAACAACACACAATATATGCCCAAACGTAAAAAAAAAAATCTGTATAACGTTTAACAAAGCAGCTATGAACGGTTTAACTATTTGTGTAAACTGAACGACATCGTTTTTTATGACGATTTTCGGCACACATTCGCTAGATGAGATTTTTTTGGTCGATATTATACTAAAAAATTAGATGTATCGTAAAGAACTTAACATTTTTTTATTTATTTTTTTTTTTGGCGATCGAAGGCCTACGCCCCCTACGAATCTGCAACTGCACAAAACAACACATCAACCTCCATTACACGACTCTTCTAAAAAATAAACGTTTACATAGTCCAACGATTAATTTAATTGATAAATAAATATGATGAAAATGTCTGGTCTCTTTTGGCATTTGATTTGTAAACATAAAAAACATAATTGATATAAATAAGTCATTTGGACTGATGGAGAAAATGTTATTTTGTATTGCATCCATCCCCCTTATCCATATGATTTATTCCTGCTGTTTCCCCCTTATCCATATGATTTATTCCTGCTGTTTCCCCCTTATCCATATGATTTATTCCTGCTGTTTCCCCCTTATCCATATGATTTATTCCTGCTGTTCACTCGAAATATTATTGTGATATAAGCAGCGACCTGACGATACTTGTATATGGACAGTTTGACCTAATCATTATGTAAATTTCCTTCCTTAACTGATTGACTGGTTATTATCATTGCTATATGACCTACTATCAGAAACCATATATTTACATTCCTCTCAATAATTATCACACATATATAATGTTTTAAACAACGTTTTTTTTTTTTGCTGTGAAGCAACGATGAACGTTTACTTTTTTTTTTCTCTTATCTCGTTGATCTGAGATTTTCTAAACCAAAATGATATATTAAGTAAATACTAATTACATTAGAACTGCAGGGATTTACATTACACTTTTTGTAATGACTAACAATACTGTGCACGTTAGCAAGTGTATAGTGCATGTGTGAAATTCGTCGTATGGCTGATACGAAATACCACTGGCATAATACGACAAATGCAAACCAAGTCTAAAAAGAGGTGGTCGACAAAACAAACACAAAGTGGGTTTAAAACATTAAGAAATCGGTAAACTCTTTGTCGTCCTGTGATTTGCATTAATGAGCAATGAACTCATGGCGATTATCTTTTGGCTTTTTTTCTAGGAAAGATATCGATAATTCGAGTTATCAAGACGACAATGTTCCGTCGATAGTTGTATTTTTCACTGTAAATAATTTAATTTTGAATGTAACACGTCTTCTGATCGGCTGAAAGTGTTTTGGCTATCAGCTCATAGACATAATTTTATCATCTGACCTCGACTTCATCAACGTTTTTTCATGTTTACTCCTTAAAATGGAATTTAGAATTAACTTATAAGGAATGTATCATGATATTGCCGATTATCACAATTTTTGAGTTGACATTTTGTGGACATGCGTAGGATAGCGGATGCGACCATAATTAACATTTTATATATTTATATATTCGATGGTGTTGCCCGAAGACAGTAAGAACGAAAACAGTATAAGCCAAATTTTTGATGTTTGAAATTGTTTTGCTAAATAGCAACAGTTTATGTTTGTGAAATCTTCTTCGTTATCTAATTATAAAAGTACTTTTCTCTTTGCAGATTGAGCGCTATATTATTTAGTAAGGACGACGCTGAATCAGTGTTGAGATTTGAACCAATGGGAACGTACCTTTTATATCGTGATTATGAATCTGATAGGATGTATCTGTCATTAAGGTAAGAACCAATGGGAACGTATATTTTATATCGTCAACCAATAAGAGTATTGTGTGGTGATTATCAATATGACAAACTACATCAAGATTTTGATCAGGGATAACAAAAACTTAGTTCACATAATTGTTTGTCTAGACACCCCCTTAAACATATATGGAAAACGTTGACTGTCACACGAAATTTAAACCGTGTATGTACTTTTTTTTAATTAATGCTTATAAAATTATTGTGTATTAGATTTTATATTCTTAACTTCAGGAAGTTATGTAATCACTAAAATCTGTCTTTCAGTTGAACGGTAGAACCAAATCCGTCCCTGTGAAAATGATATCGAAAATAAAATAGTCGAGAAGTCGTTTCCTTATTTACTGTAAACTTAAGAGAATACTAATTGAATTTAATTTTATGGCTGTTTTATATTCTTTCCTTTAGATATAACACTGATTAAGCATTTCAAATGCAAAAATCCATTTGTAATTCGTGTAATTCTATTTAATTATAATTAAATGTTTCAGTATGTTTAACATTTCCAAAACTTTCTTACAAAGAAAAAAAAAAACACGTGCTTTAGATGTTTTTTTTATCTTTTGTGTCGTTAGGTTGCCGTCTCATTGAGGAAAACAGTCTCCTTTTATTTTTCGACTGGTTATTTACCAATAAATGTTGAATATCATTCTCCTTCCAAACAAGTACTCGGAAGCTTGCCACATTATAACAAGTTTAAGCGTCAGCTAGATAAAAATAGATTGTTCATGTACATTTTGGTCTACTCTATTCTGGTTCCTAACATTTCGGTCTACTTTATTCTGGTTCCTAACATTCCGGTCCACTTAAGTAAGTTCTTTTGTTAGAATAACGGACTTACGACGATTTAGTCGGTCCGAAGAGTTAAGTGAACAGGGCAGTGCTATACTTGAACAGGCCTCCCTTTTACATAAATGTTAGAGAGAAAAATTGCTAAACCTCTGGACAATTCTGTTGATAATCAGGACTGCTTTTTTCTATGTAGAACACCTGGAAATTGTTACAGCAGAACCCATGATCAAATTAAAGGATGCAGGAATGAGTTGAATTATTGACTTGCAAGCCAATAATACATTTGCGATGTATTTGAGCTTATTTTGACAAAACTGAACCAGACTGACAGCAAATAGCGAAATAATTTCAATATTCCGCTTTTATATTTGTTTGAAACAAAACAAAATCATATTTTATTTTTTTTGTCTAAATCGTATTTAATGTCCCTTTAAGGATCTTCATTATAAAATATTTGTAGAATATAGGAGGCCTGGGAAAATTAATTATTGCGTCAATTCTTTGATATTCCTAGAAATCTGGAGTCATGCGAATCTAACTTTAAATCACGTTATCTTTTTAAAACAATTGTCATTTTTTACATTATATTAATGACACTTAATGTAACGTAAGGGAGATCTGTATTTCGATACATACCTTATCGTCCATTTACACAGGAATCAGTCTGCACATAAGCAAATCAATCGAGAACGCTTGAAACTCAAAAGGTAAAATACCTTTGTCCATGCGGGAGTCTTTATATTTACTGCATTTTTAATTGTAATTTAAAAGATGTTAAGATCCATTGTGCGGTGAATAAATTGCTATTAAGGAGATATCCTTCTATTATTGGTCAAACGGTATAAAAATAGAAAGATGTGGTACGATTTTCAATAAAACATCTATCCACCAGGGACCAAATGACGTATGTGTAAGCAACTATATAGGAAGCTATAGGTCACAAAAAGGTCTTCAACAATAATCAAAACCAACATCGTATAGAAAGCTTTAAAAGTCCCCGACATGACAAAATGAACAAAACATCAAACGAGAAAACCATTTATGTACAAAACAATACACGAAAAACAAATATTATGATAGACAGCAAACAAATGTTAGACAACCACTGAATTACAGGGTATGGTATTGAAAAAAAACACACACGCAAACATACTGAATATATATTGAATAACATGTATATTTCAGAAAATAAAAGAAAAATGTTTTTCTATTCTTAGTTCAAGTATAGCGTGCTAAAGTTGTGTGCAAAATCTTTAAAAAGATTAAATCTTTGCTAGGACTCATTTACTGTAACTTGACCATACAAATTATGGTTAAGGTGCATAAAAGTACAGTTACAAAAAAATGTACTTTGAACAATAAACCCATACAACCCGTTATAAAAGTACATCTGTACACTTTGCATGGTATTTTATTTCGGGTTCTTGTGTATTTATTACTTAGGTGGTTTCTTATATTTTAAAACGTTGCTCTATTTTCCCGACGAAAACAGTCTAGAGGTTGTAACAAAACGTCTGAAAAATCAAGTAGATATAAAACATAAGAACACTTTAAATACAGAAATGAAATAAACCTAACACAAGATCTTAACGTATTTACACAGGACGAAGATTTATTATCAGTAGACATTATATCAATACATCAGATAACATTATTATACATTATATTTTACAACAAACCTTGGTGACAACTGTTTTATGTGCAAAAGATTATCACTGGTCGTAGGCTATATCTCTTGTCAGCACATGTTCATAACAGCATGGAGCTTGAAAGCATTGTATTACTAAAAGGTTGCATACACTATATTGAAAATGATGGAAAAAAGGATTATTGTAGCAGATTTTCCACAAAAAAGTAAAGAAACCCAGATCTTTATTACCAGTTAACTAAAACACATTAATCCTAAAATGATATATATGAATGGATAAACAGATTTTACCAAAGGTTGGAATCAATTTCCTCACTCCAAGTAATCTAATCAAAATAAAATTGAGAATGGAAATGGGGAATATGTCAAAGAGACAACAACCCGACCAAAGAGCAGACAACAGCCGAAGACCACCAATGGGTCTTCAATGCAGCGAGATAATCCCGCACCCGGAGGTGGTCCTCAGCTGGCCCCTAAATAAAATTGTGTGCTAGTTCAGTGAAAATGGACGTCACACTAAACTCCAAAACATATAAATGAACTAAAATTAAAAAAACATACTAGACTAACAAAGGCCAGAGGCTCCTGACTTGGGACAGGCGCAAAAATGCGGCGGGGTTAAACATGTTTTGTGAGATCTCACCTCTAGCCAATGTAGAATAAAGAAACACATAGCAATACGCACAGTAAAGCTCAGTTTAAAAGAAGCCAGAGTCCGATGTCAGAATAGATAACAAAAGAAACTAAGCAAAATGACAATGATACATACATGAACAAAGGACTACTAGCAGTTACTGACATGCAGCAAAGCCCGCATCCGTCTTTGTATTTTTTTTAATTTTATACCAGCATAGTTCAACTAAGTTTTTGTCTCTGTATAAGAAAAAGGCATCAACAAAAAAAAAAACCTTTGACACAAGTAGACAACTAATGTTTATTTTTTTATGGAATAGCTGTTCATGTAACAGCTAGCCTATGAACGATGTGTGTTGCTTATTTACATGTTAATGTAACGTCAGATATAAACCATGGTACAACATAATAGAAAAAATACATACAAAAGACCTTTTATGTTTTTAGTATTTAGTACTATGCTAAATTATAATGAAATCAAAGTATGATAAGTTGATAAGTTTTGATATTCCAAAAGTTGGCAGGAATTATTCACGTCTATGTGAAAAAGTTGTAGCTTTACATAATATGAACGCTTTCATAGATTGACTTGTTAAGTTTATGTAAAATTAACACATTATTGTCATGTTAGAAGCGTTAATTAAGTCAGTTATTTGATATTGTGGAATAGGATACATTGTGTATTCCGCCTATGTTTTGAAAGGATGATGAATTATATATGACATTATCACAAAAATTTGAAAAGGATTTCATCATAAACAATTTTTATTGACTTTATTGAGTTGAACTGAATTTGTTTGGATTACTTCCCTTTGTATGAATTCAGTTTACTGCATAAATCAATTTTCACGAAGGTGTAGAGAACAATAAATAGCATGTAATCAAAATGTCCAATAACATGAGGAGGTAGCCAAAAAGGCATTAAAAGTTGAAATGAAAACGACCAAAGGGTTCTAAAAGCTTTCGTACTATGTGAAGTTCTATAATGGCATCAAAGCATATAAGATCGATACACAATAGACCCTATGTCATTAGCATTAGTTACTTCTACTATGAGGCTATAGTACTGCATTTACATAGCGTTTTTGTCTACTTCAGGCATTGCACGTAAACGTCTATTATAGGCATAACATGTACAGACAACATTGTTGGCTACTTCAGACATAATATGTACAGACAACATTGTTGTCTACTTCAGACATTGCATGTACAGACAACATTGATGGCTACTTCAGACATAACATGTATAGACAGAATTGTTGGCTACTTCAGACATAACATGTACAGACAACATTGTTGGCTACTTCAGACATAACATGTACAGACAACATTGTTGGCTACTTCAGACATAGCATGTACAGACAACATTGTTGGCTACTTCAGACAAAGCATGTACAGACAACATTGTTGTCTACTTCAGACATAACATGTACAGACAACATTGTTGTCTACTTCAGACAAAGCATGTACAGACAACATTGTTGGCTACTTCAGACATAACATGTACAGACAACATTGATGTCTATTTCAGACATAACATGTACAGACAACATTGTTGTCTACTTCAGACAAAGCATGTACAGACAACATTGTTGGCTACTTCAGACATAACATGTACAGACAACATTATTGGCTACTTCAGACATAACATGTACAGACAACATTGTTGTCTACTTCAGACATAACATGTACAGACAACATTGTTGGCTACTTCAGACATAACATGTAAACAACGTTTTTGTTTACTTTAGACATTACATGAAGACAACGGTTTTTCTACTTTAGACGTATATTAACAATATGACATGTAATTAACGGTTTTGTCTGCTTCAAGCATGAACTGTAAACAACGGTTATTCTTCACCAAACATAACATGTAAAAACGTTCTTGTCTACTTCAGACATGAAATGTAAACAACGGTTTTGTCTACTTAGACATGACATGTAAACAACGTTTTGTCTACTTCAGACATGACATGTAAACAACGTTTTGTCTACTTATACATGACATGTAAACAACGTTTTGTCTACTTCAGACATGACATGTAAACAACGTTTTGTCTACTTAGATATGACATGTAAACAACGTTTTGTCTACTTAGACATGACATGTAAACAACGTTTTGTCTACTTCAGACATGACATGTAAACAACGTTTTGTCTACTTAGATATGACATGTAAACAACGTTTTGTCTACTTCACTGAGACATGACATAAGAACAACGTTTATGGCATGTTAAATAACGTTTTGACTTCTTCAGACATGACATGTGAACAACGGTTTTGTCTATTTTAGACATGAGGCTACATCATTGTACCTAAACAACTTTTTTGTCTCTTTTCGGAAATCCAAATCCATAAAAGCATAAATAAACGGATTGACAACGTTGTTTATGATATACATTCTATAAATAAATAGAATTCCGGTTCGTTCATTGTCGGAGAAGTTCTGCCAGAAATATGGATCAAGACCTTCAACTACTATCAGGATTACTTTAGGAATATAACAGATCAGAAATACTATCGTAATCATCATGAACATAATTGTAAATTTATGTACAAGCCTTCTATTTATATCAGGACTTCCTGTTGAATGTTTGACCTTTGACTTAGTTTTTGGTGTTATTCCTTCCGGTTCATATTTTTCTATTTCTGGTTTTGATTCCTTGTTTTCTGTCACGTGTTCGTCACTGACAATAACAGAAGTGATAGTTTGCATTTCTGTGTCAATATTTGAACTTATTTGTTCTTTACCAGATGAGTGTGAGCTTTTCTTGTATTTGAAATGAATGTATACCTTATGTCCAATTCTACTGTAGAAAAAAATCATAATTGTCATAGAAGTCAAGAGAATTATTATAATGATAACTCCATACAGAAGCGACAAAGTTTTGTTAACTTCCTTTAATTTGCTACAACGTGCACCTACTACACTCCCGTCCGCATTCGGGAAATCAACGGATCCATACAGCGCGGTTGTCGGTAGTGCTAATAAACTGGCGAGGCCTAAAGACAGTCCGACTGCTAAACGTTTATGAAATTGTTTCATTTGATGTCCTTGAGGTCTGCATAGTTTAAGATACCTTTGAGTTGCGATAATCAGTAACAATAAAATAGACATATATGTCGTAAAAGCTGCAAAAAACCACCAGGCCTTGCATAAATGTTTGTTGTAAAATTCTGACTGCATCATATTCAGCGCAATTCCGAACGAACCACAAACTGTAGCTCCCGCTAAATCTGAAACAGCCAATATCGGAATAAAATATCTGTCCTCCGACTTTTTTCGCATTCGGAATCTATAAACAATTATAACAGTGGTATTACCAATAATTCCCAAAAATATGTATAAGGATAGTACTATATTGTTTGGAATCAAGATTTTCGATAACTTAGAGTTCCACACCGAAACTGCGTTAGAATTTGAACCATTGTTCTCCATAATTAGAGGTTGAAAACACAGAAATCTGGATCACCATCAAATATAACAATGACTTTATTTCCGGAAGAGGAATATAATAAACCAATCCATCAAGTTAAATGCAACCCGTCTAGTGTAATTGTTAATAATTAAAAGCAAACCTCAAGTATCATTTTTCGTGTATTCGATATATGTCGAAAGCTCAACTGTTACGATCTAAAATAAAAATTTAATGATTATTTAATTAATTACGATAAAACAATACTATACCTGAATAGATATGTGTGTTATTACTATAAATATCTACATCTTAAATATGCAATTTGACTGAGTATATATATAAAAAATGAAATATCGAATGTTTCACTTGAATACTTTTAAATGGAAAGGAACCAGGAAGAAACGTGAATGTGAATTTACAGTTAACTAATTTAAAAATAAACATTAAATCGTATTGACATATTCCTAAACTGGAACATAAAAATAATATCAAAATAACGTAACATAATTTCAACAGATTGAACTAACTTGAAGAAATCCATATGCCTTTTAAACACAAAACGAACATCAGAATGGTTATTAATGTTGAAAACATGAAACCATTATAACATATTCGGGATTCACAGAGGATATGTTTTCCGCGTACATGTAGTTCCCCAATAACATATGATATTTGCATTTTAAAAACGTATGATATATTTTCCGTAAGTGTTTCTGGGATAAGTCCCGTCAATAACGCCCGGGACCAAAAGTTTGGAAAGTCAAAAATGTAAAACGTTTGAAAGCTTTAAAACTTATATTAAGGTCCTACTAAAACTACAAAATCTCTATAAAGTCTACTTTGTCATAGTGCTTTTAAGGGCCCACTTAAACAGCTGAAACTATATAAGGTCTACTTTGTCAGAGGGTTTTTTAAAGGTCATAAACTCTACACAATACACGAAATGGTCCATGAAGCTATTTACCAATCGTCTTTTGTCTACTACCCAATATAAGTGAGCAGACACACGACCGCTTACTCAACTTGCTGAAGACATCAACTCCCAACTATCGCCACAGATATTCTTTACCGACACCCATCAGTTATCCCGCCCAACCAGCATTCTTCAAAATTACCCAGAGAAGCTGTTTTTTTTCCACTATACCCAATAAATGTTTATCATGTACTATGTTAAAGCAAAAGGCTAACTATACTTGGTGTATGGTATGATTGTAAAGTATACATGTTTTTTTCTGGCAGGATTCAGCTGACCTTTACTTCATTTACGTATTACTTTTTGTGCTCAACTTAAATATTTTATTTTTTTTGTGTAATACTATTTATGTGTCAGCAATTTAAAGCATTTTCCTGTACATGATTTGAAGATTGTGTAACATATTTGTCCATCAGTGCTAGCATTGTTGATAATTGTATACCATTGGAACCAAGTTTCGTTGTTAATCGCTGTTTCGTATATTAGTGCTCTTTGATGAAATATTTATTTTCCAATTTTGACTTGTTTTCAACTATCAATCCGTCAGATTACTCAAACATTTATTTTAGCTGGAATCACTGTAACTCCATTTACAGGTAAACTTCATTAATCCCTATTGCCCAAAAATCACGTTTCCCAAACAAGAAACTATTTAGCTGTAAACAAAAAATATCAAATGTTGGAGAAACGTCAACACCCCAAATACAATACCCCTATATTCTAACATTAAAGTATGTTGAAATATTCTGGAACTGTTACACTATCATGACTATTCAAATGATATGATTTACTACATACAATTTCAAATGATTTTCCTGTGACTGTTTCCATACATAAGAGACATAAAATGTTTATGCCTTCATCTTAATAAAAATCTTTTAAAAAGTATATAATATTATGTACAAAAAGATGATATACTAAATTTACTAATTTTTGATTCAGCCATGCTGGATTTATTTGATGGCTTAGGATTTGGAGATGGTGCAGAATTAGAAGTTGAAGACAGATCATGAAACTAATTATGTGATTTAATGACTTGCAGAAACCTTATACACCATTTTAATTAACTATTGTCAACTTTTGACATGTTATTTGCCCTTAAATTAAGAAAAGATTGGTCGAATAGCGCCTTTATTTTAGATATACACTTGCATATAGTCCCTTTGTAAATAAAAAAATATAATAGATTACTATTTATTAATTAATGTGAAAAAGTAATACATCAAAATTGAGCAGTTAATGAGAAGTATGAAAGTATTTTATCAGTATCTAAGAATTGTGTAAGTAATTAAATAACATGTGGTACAAGATGAAGGATAAAAGAAATGCATTTTTTGGAAAAGAAAAGACGAAAAACAAAATATGTATGGACAAATGCAAGCAGGGTCTATTTTTCTTGTACATTCAGTGTTATAATCATCTGGTATTAGTCAATAATTTTAGTTAATTTAAGTTACTATTATCACTAATTAGCTTGAAACAATAAACAAAATTGTATAACTCTAACCTGGAGATTTTCTGCAATAAAATGTATTTGTTTATTCCCCATGCATTATATTGCTATTTAGCGGTGTAAGGTATTTGTACAAGTACATTATATTGCTATTTAACGGTGTAAGGTATTTGTACACGTACATTATATTGCTATTTAACGGTGTAAGGTATTTGTACACGTACATTATATTGCTATTTAACGATGTTAGATATTTGTACACGTACATTTGAATACAGGAAACTATTTTTCTCAATGAATAAAAAAATTGAAAACAACACGTTTAATAATTTCATGCGTCCGAAGCGCTTTTCTGGATTTACCTTCATCAGGAACGCTCAATGCCAAACATTTGAAATCCGAGGGATGTACAAGTACCGAACCAGTTGAAGAGCTATATGACAAAAATACCTAAAACAAATAGCCAAATTCATTTAAGGTCAACTTTGCCTGAGGGAGTTGAAACCTTAGTTTATTTTATAATTTCAAAATTTATAAACGGACAGTTTTAGAAAAGTTTGTTATAAATCATGTCAGTACCGAAATAGAGAATGGAAATGGGGAATGTTTCAAAGAGACAACAACCCAACCCAAGAGCAGAAAACTGCCAAAGGCCACCAATGGGTCTTCAACACAGCGAGAAAATCCCGCACCTGGAGGCGGGCTTCAGTTCAATGAAAATGGACGTCACGCTAAACTCCAAAACATATAAATGAACTAAAATTAAAATGATACAAGGCTAACAAAGGCCAGAGGCTCCTGACTTGGAAGAATGAACACCAATTTATATGAAAATTAGTTATTTATTTTTTGTTGTTGACAAAGTGTATTTTCAATGCCTCTTTTCTGAAATTATTAAGTCAAACTTCAATAAAAGATATACTACACCTTCCTTTGAAGATTTCTATTTCCAATCATGCAAAAATTATTTAATTGAATAAAAAGAAGATATTAGAAATCAGAACACCTTCTTAAAATTGAAATATCAAAAGAATTTGTATGAAATTTGAGAAATTCTCTATCTTTGGGCAATTGAACACAATTTTTTGAGTAAGATTATGGAAATGAAATAAAACCATTCATCTTCAATGTCAATAAATGATCATAAGATCAGGTACAAAAATTGCATAACTATGTTTAAAAATGAAAAATAACACTGGTAATTTTTGAGTGAAATAATAATGAAAATGATGAAGTGCTACATTCAATCCTTGTCAAGTTGTGTTGTCTGTTTTTTTTTTTAAACATATGATATCAGATTGTCGCTTGGGTTCTTTTCGGTTTGAGCACAAATTAACATTTTGGGCCAAATCACTTAACCAAAGTTTTGATGGTTGTCTCTAAATGCCTTACAGGAGCATGTATACATTTTTTGGGAATTCAAAATGAGATCTGAAAAATGTTGGTCTACCTTCCATAGCTAAAAAATGGCTGAATCACAGCACCGAGGATGCTTTGATTTTTTATTGTGAATTTATTTCCTGTAACTTTTTTTCCTGTTACTTTTTATTCGTGAGTTTTTTTCTACGTTCTATATTAAGGGTCTACTAAAACGGTTAAAACTGTCTGCGGTCTACTTTGCCATAGGGGGATGGCAACCTTCGCTTTGATAAAATTACTGAATTTTTATGAATTGGAAATTTACAGACAAAACATATCATTTGAATCATGTCAATATACAGAGGGAAAAAAGTCAAATACATATGAAGGGAACTTTCGAGCGAGAGCGAGAAAAACAGCCAAATACATATGAGGGAAACTTTCGACTCTGGTTTTGCCGTTCCACAAAAACATTGATTTTACTCAAAAATGGTTTTATTTCAGATCAGAGAACTACGTTGAGCATCATAGGATTAACTACGAGGATAATTTGTATTATATGGATAATCAGCCGTATCCTTACTTAGATTCAATTGTCCGATATCACCAAAGACACAAACTTAATGGTACAAGACTCAAACATCAGGTAAATATTTCGTTATATTTTTGAATGACCAAAGGTGCAGGATTCAAGCATCAGGAAAATATTTCGTTACATTTCTGTATGACATATCACCAAAGGTGCAGAACTCAAACATATTTGACGAAAATATGAATAAAGATAACAATAATAAACCACGACTCACGATGAGAATAAGATAACCATAATAAACCATGACTAACGATGAGAATATATTATTAACAATGATAAACCATGACTTACGATTAGAATGAAATAACCATAATAAACTATGTCTCATGATGACAATAAAATAACAATAATAAACGATGACTTACGATGAGAATACAATGATTAACCATGACTCACGATGAGAATACAATTTCGTAATGAAATATTACATACGGCGATGCATAACCCCGACGAATGATTTGTCATTACATAAGTCTATTGTTTTTACATATAAAATTCTTTAACAACTTCGAAAGAAATAATAATGATAATAATAATGTTAGGAATAAATAGAATTGAGAATGGAAACGGGTAATGTGTCAAAGAGACAAAGAACCCGACCAAAGAGCAGAAAACAGCCCAAAGCCACCAAAGGATCTTCAAAGCCGCGAGAAAATCCCGCACCCGGAGGCAGTCTTTAGCTGTCTTGGGACAGAAGCATTAATGCGGCGGGGTTAACCATGTTTTGTGAGATCTCAACTCTCCTCTTATAACTCTAGCCAATGTGGAATAAACAAACACACAGCAATATGCATAGTAAACCTCAGTTTAAAACCCAATTCACTTATTATTAATTTAAAATCTATATCTTTCATATTTATTTTTATTTCAGGCACATCTCAGTGCAAGAACTGTTAAGTTATTTACTACAAAAATCACAGCTCAGAATGGCTATGTTCAGCTCGATCGAAAATCAAAATCCGAATCCGATATTACAGACAATAATAATGTAATTGGAATTGAACATAAAAATGACGTTTTAGTTGGTAAAAGTCGAATATCAAAATCAAGTGGACGTCTCTGGATTTCCGGTATTCATAAATCATTAAAGCGCATGTCTGCACCAGAAAGAGATGGTATATTTTCTGGAAACGGTATTTATCATAGGGATCCACGACCAAATACATTTACGGAGAATGGCTACATTCCTCATATGGATGAAGGGGACAACTTAGATAATATAATAGAGGATTTACAAGATTTTCATCATTCACTTAATTCATCACCAAGGACAGACAATTCATCACCAAGGACAGACAATTCATCACCAAGGACAGACAACTCGTATTCGGATATAAAATCTGAAAGAAAGGCAACTTCTGCTGAATGGAAACAATCTAAAGAAATAGCAGCACCAAGTTACGAAAGGCGATTCGATGTTACAACAGCTTTTGGTTTTGGAAGGACGTCTTTTACGACAAGTATAAAATCTCCAGATACTCCAACTCAAAAAAGACAATTCGGTGCAACAGATTTTAAATCGCCAGTTGATGAAGTTAAACCTACAGAACATGTAAAACATACGGAGAACAATGACAATTCCAATATTTTGTATTGTAGTCATTTATAGTCTTCACACAGGACAATTTCCGGTTCATCGAGGCTTCACGGCTGGACAATATCCCAGTCTCACAGGCTCAACACGAACACGGGATAAGACTACATCCAAGTCTTTCAATGTTTAATCAATATGCATTAGAGTATTTTTGATTCTTGATTGTTCATGTTTTATAACATTTATTTCTTCATATGTATATTTGATGATACAAAAAACAAGTTGTTATGATTGATATCAGTATGTATTCCTTGTAATTTCGAGTTCATTTCGCATTTGCATAAACATAAGGATACTTGCTTACAATTATAAAGATTTCCATATACGTCTTCTCTCTCATCTTTTGTTTATTTATTGCAAGAAAAACAGTAAGTGCTTAATTTAACTCTTCTGTAATGCATTTTTAAAACAATGTCGAACTTGCCATGAAGTTTTGTTATTGCGCAATCAGATTAAAGGAATATATGAGATAAGGTGTGAATCTTTTGAAGGAATTTACCAGAATTTAATACAATACTTCCATAGAATATTATATTTATAGGTGTAGAGTAATTTCCCTTGTGATAGGACTTCCTGTGCAGTTCGCATTAGCTTTTTAGCTTTGTGCATTATACATATTTTGAATAGGTTCCGATATAATTGTCTACAGCTGCATGCTGATGATAATAATGATGTCGTTATTTCGCAATGGAAAAATAAATAACTTAATTCAATAGATTTAGGAAAGAACATACAATTAAAAATTACAGGAAAACACTTAACTTTGAACTAACATAAGGAAAATGATACTTTATTAATTATAAACATAAGTATATTAAAACAGTAATATTAAATCCAAGAATTCTGCATACTGGCATCAAATAGGTCATTTCCGATAAAAAATCATTTGCAAAATCTCTAAAGATAAGAAACCAAGAGAGCGATAAGTAGCACATCAGTTTCGATAGTTATTATTGTTTCATAATAAAGAGTTGAGGACAAATTAATCCAACTTGAAAGACAAATGATGGTTAAAATGATTTGAACAGTATTGGCACCATGTTTCTGGTTAACAAACATTTACAAAACTACATGCATTAATACAGGAAATTGTATCAACAGACTGCTTTTCTAAATAAATAAAAAAATATAAAAAGAGATGTATAATCTGGTATGTTAAAAAATCAGCACCAAATGAGGTGAGATTAAACCTGTGTCTTCTAAACTACTTTTGAACATGCATGAAATAGTTGCAACTGGGCGTAAAACATACAGCAACCAATTATATAATCATTTAGTACCTATTCCTTATTACATGAAAGAAAAACATATTGATGAACAAGAACAAAAATGTTAAATAACCACCTATAATGTAAAGAAAATCAAGATTTCAAAAAATATAGATATGAATATGTAAAAGTCAATGTAATAGCCACCAACGATCCGAGATCGCCAAAGTAGACCGAAGAGGTCACCCTCTGCAGTACTTCAACCCTCACTATCAATTCACAGAGATGGTCCAATAACTGACGTTAACATAAAAAAAAAAATTCCACACTTGTGACATGCACGTTTATATATTGCGAGTCAAATGAAGCAACTAGATATAATGTATATTGTACAACACCATGGCTAAAATGAGAAAAAAAGACAAATATACACAAAATTGTCTACAAGATACTTTATTGAAATTCAAAATTATATTATTTTAGGTCTTTTGGGTCTTATTGCTCCACACGTATTCTAGTAATAATACCATTCTGACCTTGAGCGTGAAGGTAAATCAAGCAAATGTTTCGAACGCACTGAAGTTATAAAGTGTTATTTTTCTTTTCAAAGAAGACTAATCGTTTTTATAAACACGAACCCCACCAATACAAGAGGAGAAGGAAGAGGAATAAGAATTTCTGGTAGGATAAGCAATCCTTTTTTTTACATTCATTTTGGTGGCTCTTTTCTCTTGCTCGTGACAAGTAAAAATCGACAATAACCTGCATTCTGTGATGTCATAAACGATAAATAGAAGACATGACTATTTATTGAATAGCTGTTTATGTAACAGCTAGCATATGAATGATGTTTGTTGCTTATTTACATTTTGATGAAACACGTGTAACGTCAGATGTCAACCATGGTACAGTATAATAGAAATATATACAAAGACCTTTTATGTCTTCAGCATTTATAACTATGTTTTATCATAATCATTGATAAATTTAAATAGTCCAAATGTTGACAGGAATTGTTCTTGTCTGACGAGAAAACATTGTAGCTTTGCTTGATATGAACGCTTTCATAGATTGACTTGTTAAGGTTACATAAAATTAACACATTATTGTCATGTTAGAAGCGTTAATTAAGTCAGTTATTCGATATTGTGGGATAAGATACATTGTGTATTCCGCCCATCTTTTGAAAGGATGCTGAATTATATTTGACATTATCGTAAACATTTGAAAAGGAAATCACCATTAACATTTGTATTGACTTTATTGAGTTGAATTGAATTTGTTTGGATTACTTCCCTTTGTATGAATTCTGGTTACTGCATAAATCAAGTTTCATGAAGGTACAGAGAACGATAAATAGCATGTAATCAAATGTCCGATAATAGAAAGAGGTAACCACATTAGCATTAAAAGTAAAAAATGAAAACAACCAAAGGGTTCTAAAAGCTTTCGTACTATGTGAAGTTCTATAATGACATCAGAAGAATATAAGATCTAAACACATTAGACCCTATGTCATTAGCATTAGTTACTTCTACCATTAGGCTATAGTACAGCATTTACAAAGCGTTTTTGTCTACTTCAGGCATAGCACGTAAACGTCTATTTTAGGCATAACATGTACAGACAACATTTTTGTCTACTTCAGACATAATATGTAAACAACGTTTTTGTTTACCTTAGACCAAATATGAAGACAACGGTTTTTATACTTTAGACTATATAAACAACATGTTTGTCTACTTCAAACGTGACATGCAATCATATATAATTGCTTTTGATTTCCATATACGTCTTCTCTCTCATCTTTTGTTTATTTATTTCAAGAAAAACAGTACAGTGCTTGATTTAACTGTTATGTAATACTTTCGTAAAACAATATCGAACTTGCCATGCAGTTTTGTTATTGCGCAATCAGATTAAAGGAATATTTGATAAGGTGTGAACCTTAATAAGGAGGAATTTACAAGAATTAATTCAATACTACAACAGAATATTGTAGCACTTGGAATATGATCTACTGTGCGGTTCACATTAACCTTTTAGCTTTGTGCATCATACATGTCTTTAAAAAGGCCCAATAGTAGTCTACAACTGCATGTTGAGGCAGACTGACTGATGAACATGATGATGATGTTAGTTTGAAATGAAAAAAATAAATAACTTAGTTAATTCAACGAATTGTAAATTTATAAAAGAATACACAATTAAAAAGTACAGGAAAAGCACTTAACTCTGAATTAACATAAGGAAAATAATACTTTATTTATTTATAAACATGAGTACATTCAAACAATAATACTATATAAAACAATGCTCACAGATACTTAAAGCATACTTAACCTGCTAATATGAAATCTTGCCGTTCTACAGTCTACTATTGGTGGCTGTATACGTAGGAGAAAAGTATGTCAGGAGGATTTTTTTTTGACGTATTAACACAGCTCATATTAAAATTAAATAATAAATTTTGATAAATGATGGAAGTATCTTAATTGTTTCGGAACCCATTTACATTTTAAATTGAAGGCATTTCGGAGAAAGTAAAGATTAAGATTGGCCATTTCCGATAAAAATTAATTTGTAAAATGGATAGGGAGAAAATACCAAGAGGTAGATAAACAACATACACGTTCCTATTGTTATTATTGTCTCGTACTAAATAGTTGAGGACAACATAATCCAGCTTAAAATACAAATAATGATTCAAAATGCTTGGGACAGTATGGGCACCAAGTATTTATTTAACACAAGTTTTAAAACTAAATGTGTTAAAACACTAAATTGTATCAACGAACAACTCGCTTAAGAAAACAAAGTCACATAAAAAAATGAAAAAAAAATATATCAATAGAGATACATATCCTGGTATATTTAAAATCAGCACAAGACTTTACCTGTTTCTACCATACTCATTTTGAACATGCATGAACTATTTGCCACTGGACACAAAACAAACAACAACCAATCAATTAAACCTTTCGTATCTATTCTATATCTCATTAAAAAGAAATAACATATTGACGAAAAAGAAAAAGAAATGCTAAATAACTACCACTCATGTAAAGTTAATCTGATGACGCCGAAAGTAAAGATTTCAATAAAAGGAGATGTGATGTAAACATCAATATGATAGACATTGCCACAATAGACTGAAGAGGTCATCCTATGCAGTACTTCTACCCTTACTATAAAATTCACAGAGATAGTCCAATAACTGACGTTAACTAAAAAAAAATATTCCACACTTGTGACATGCACGTTTATATATGGCGAGTCAAAAGAAGCAACAAGATATAATGTACAACACCATGGCTAAAATGAGAAAAGAGAAATATACACAAAATTGTCCACAAAATACTGAATTGAAATTTCGAAATTATTATATTATTTTAGGTGTTTTTGGTCATATTTCCTCTCGTGTATTCAATAAAGGCAACAGTAGTATACTGCTGTTCGAAATTTATAAATCGATTGAGAAAAAAACAAATCCGGGTTTTACAAACTAAAACTGAGGGAAACACATCAAATATAAGAGGAGTACTACGACACAACAGAAACACAATATTAAAATGTAACACACACAGAAACGAACTATAATATAACAATGGCCATTTTCCTGACTTGGTACAGGACATTTTAAGAAAAAAATGGTGGGTTGAACCTGGTTTTGTGGCTAACCAAACCTCGCATTTTTATGGCAATATTTAATATAACACTAAAATGACACCATTAGATGACAGGAATACAGTACAAATGCAAGAAATGTGCTTCGGTACCGACATAACTGCTAGTGGACTACAAGTGCTCTAGTGTATCATCACCGTATCATCAGTAATCTGTGCTTCGGTACCGATATAACTGCTGGTGGACTACAAGTGCTCTAGTGTATCATCACCTTATCATCAGTAATCTGTGCTTCGGTACTGACATAACTGCTAGTGGACTACAGGTGCTCTAGTGTATCATCACCTTATCATCACTAATCTGTGCATCGGTACAGACATAACTGCTAGTGGACTACAGGTGCTCTAGTGTATCATCACCTTATCATCAGTAATCTGTGCTTCGGTACTGACATAACTGCTGGTGGACTACAAGTGCTCTAGTGTATCATCACCTTATC